GAGAGAGAGAGAGAGAGAGAGAGAGAGAGAGAGAGGTGTCATGAAACAGCCAGTTTCAGAGAGATAAGAGAGAAGTTTGATGAATAAATTTGAACAAGTCTGTGGTCCTGGGAAGACCTCAGTAGGAGACAGCATCCTGGTAGGATAGGGCGCTTCTGGGCAAGTGACTTAAAAGAGCTGTGGAGTTAGGCTGGTGGGCAGGCCTTTAAACCCAGAACTCAGGAGACAGAGGTAGGCAGATCTCTGTGAGAGCAAGGCTACCCTGGTCTAAATAACTAGTTCTAGACCAGGTGGGGCTATAGGGAGACCCTGTCTCAAAAAACAACAAATGTAAACAAACAAAGAAACAAAAACAACCTGCGAACCTTTTGAGCTCCAGGCACCCTGAGGAGACTTTCTGATAATTCTCTGGAGTAGTGATGACTATCAGCCCCATTCACAAGTGTATCCACCAAAGCTCTGAGACCTCAAATAACTTGCCCTGAGTCACTCAGCCAGGAGGCAGCACAGGTGGGCTTGAATAACATCTGGCTGATCCCAGCATCCCAAAGGCCTGAAAACAGTGGGGGCAGTAGGATGCTAGGACACTATGAGGGAACTCTGGGAATAAACAAGCACAGAGTGCTACTTGTTTCTGAACAAACAAAGTTAAGATCAAAGAAGGCCGGATTTGGACTGAGGCAAGAGGTCAAAGTGAACTCACATACAAGAACAAAGTTTTGGCAGATAAATATTTAGTGTTAAACAGTTGCCATGTGGTAAGGGCTGGGAAAATATGCATCTCTGCTTTTAGCTAGCCAAAGAAGGGAATCCTAAAACTCTGACATATGCATCCATGTGTGCACACACAATAGGTATCGCTGTACCTTGAGATTCACTTGAATGCCAATAACAAGTTAACCATTTTAAATAGCATACACACAGACAATACAGAGACAGAGACCTAGGCAGAGACAGAGAGACAGAGATAGAGACTCACAGAGAACATACAAAGACAGAACATATAACACACACCCAGAAACAGCATACAGAGGGGGCAGGAAGGAGGGGAGAGAGGGGAGAGAGAGGGAGAGGGAGAGGGAGAGGGAGAGGGAGAGGGAGAGGGAGAGAGGAGAGAGAGCCATTTGAGAATGTAAGGAAACATTGAGTTTTGCCCATTTTAACTACAAATCTCCATAAGAGAAGTTTCTTGGCATAAGGATTACCTTCAGGCCTTGTTCCCAGATCTACTTGTCCACATCCTGACCACAGCTGACTGAACTGTGAATGGGTGCCTGGCCCTGGTAGCCAGTGGTTAGACATTGATAGTGTGGTCCAGGCCTAGAACAAAGACAGGCTGAATGATCAGCCCTCCTTTCTTAGGAATGTGAGTGGAGAAATAGATGATTCACTCTGTCATTTCTCTGCATGTTTTGAGATAACAATCTTTTTGTAACCTACACTGGCCTTGATCTCGCAGTCATCTTGTGTTCGTGTGTTCGTGTGTGCCACCTTGACAGCACATTTGAAGAAGGAGAAATACACACTTGAAATAAGTTGGTGCAAGAAGGTGCTGAATGGCTTGCACTACACAGTTGTCCCTACACTCTCACTCAACAGTTCTCCTATCCACATTCTCTCCCCTTCCCCAACAAAGCCTCATCTCTCCCTTGGACAGATGGGATTGCAAAATGGGAATAACGTTCCAAAGACTAGTTTGGTCATGTTTTAGGGCTGCAAAGAAGCAGTGGGGTGATTAATACCTATTTGTTTTGGTTTGGATACTTTAAAATTCTGGGACAACAGGGAAATTTCCAGTCAGCACTCTTAACTGAAGGGAGGGACTGAACTCTCAAGTTGGGAAGCTAGACTACAATGGACTTAATGGCACAATATGTTTTATTGCAGAAGATTAAAAGCATGAGTTTTACAGCTGCACAGCATGGGATTCAGCCCTGGTCTGGCTGTTTTCAGGTGTGGGACTTAGGACAAGATTAGTGTAGTACATTTCTCATCTCAGTTTCTTCATCTGTAAAATGGGGTAAATAATGGTACATAGGTCACTACTGGGTTATTGTAGTTGTAATTACATCAGGCAATTACTGCAAAGCATTTATTCTCATTCCTTGTGCACAGTAAGTGTTCAGTAAATGTTAATGCAGTGAGAAAAAGCCACACAGGTAAGAAAGAGCCCTTGGCCTGTGGGGATGCCACCAAAGATGTGATATGAATAGTTTTCAATGTGGATGTACAATACTGTTGAGAGAGAGAGAGAGAGAGAGAGAGAGAGAGAGAGAGAGAGAGAGAGAAATGAGAATCTAACCACAGCGAGGCAAGCTGTAGAGTTGACAGCTGACAGCTTTTCAGGCACAGCTCCCAGCTGTTCTTTTCCTCCAAGTTACAAAACGAAACAAAACAAAAGTACACTAGCAACTACTTGCAGCAACTTGAGTCTCTGTTCTAAAAAAAAAAAAAAAAAAAAAGGTGTAGCTAACTAAGAGTGTCTCCTGGAATGTTTTACTCCCTCCCAGAAAGCCTCTCTGGACAGATCCGAGGGCAGCTATTCTCTGCCACACTTAGATAAGAGAAGCAGCTAGAACTCTAGAGACCTTCCCATTCAGATACCTGAGCTGTTCTTGAGGTCAAACTGAAAAAAAAAAAAAAAATTCTTTCAAAGAAGCCAGAGGAGGATGGAAGTTATTTTCTCACTAAAAGGTCATTTCAAGACACCAACAATGCCTGCCTGAGTAATTGAGAGTCAAATTATTTTAGAGAATGTACATCACTCTGTGCTGTGTACAGGCGCTCACGTGTAGGCTTTTCTAGGGATAATGACACGAAATTGTTCGCACAGCTCCACTGTTGACACTATGCATGCATATGATGGATTTGCTTTTACTTCATTAGTGAATAAAATCTTCAAATTAGGGCTGGCAAGATGGCTTAGCAGGTAAAACTGCTTGTCATGCAAGTCTAATGAACTGTGTTTGATTCCCATAATTCACATGAAGGTGGAAAGAAAGAACAGACTCCATGTAATTGTGTTCTGATTTCCACAGCACCAGTGGCACACATATTCACACCACACACACACACACACACACACACACACACACACACACACACACTAAATAACTAACTAGAACCTTCAACTCAGAAACAGCAAATTGAAGCCTGAAATTTCATTTTTGTCAGAATCTTACCGTGGCTTTATTGTAAATACTCTGCCATAGGTTTGTTTTGTTTTGTTTTGGTAGATTGCTTACAAAGATGGACACAAAACCCCTTTGCAATGTGATATTGAACTTCTTACATGAAGAAGGGGAGTTGGCCTCAATTCTCCTGGATTCCTGACTGGAAGGAGGCAGATGTGGATTTGTGGGCTCTGCAAGCATCTGCCTTAAGATGCTTTACAGTTCCTACTTGACCTCTCTTGCAGACCTAAGGCCTCCATGTTTGTAATCCTTGCTTAGCCTCCTTGAGGATGTAAGAGCACAGGACTGGCTGGCAGCCTTTATCAAATGGTGGTGACCCAGTTCATTTTGGACAGTCTACTTCCAAAATGAACTCGGTCATCAGATGCCTGTAATCGTAGGTGACCATAGGCAAGACCAACAGCAGAAGAATCACCCAGCTGAGCTCATCCTAACTCACTGACCCACAGAATTGCTATTAGATGAGTCATATGTTTAAGCTGCAAAAATCTACACACAGAAAAGGATAATTATTACAAGGATATACCCTTCTCTCATTGTGAGCGGGTTCTCAAAACTGTGTGGGAGCAAGGGATCAGAACGCATTAGGAAAGCTAATCAGTAGTAGGACTGGAGGAGCTGCAGTGTCAGGGAGTTACTTTGGGAGGAATTTGTTATCGTTTTATTGTTTAGCAACAGTGAATAACAGGGGTTGGGCTTCGGTTCTTAACTCTGGAAGCAAGTGGCATTTGAGTGGGTGGCAGTCCTTGTTCTGGGGCCTGGGTTGATGTGCGTAAAAGTTTGCTCGCAGGAATGCACGTGGGAGTTAATTTCTCCTTAAGCTCAGTATCATACAGGATGGATCTTATTTGCACATGTAGCAACAGCGCCAGTACAAAGGGGTTTTCCCTTTTCTTTCCCCCCTGCCAACTACTGTGACTAATTGAGCATTCTGTGACTCTTCCAGCTGGAGGATATTACTCAGAATACATATCTGAGAAATAACAGACACCAGCTGTTGTCAGAGAGATGGTAATATCTTTTTAAATGGATGGAACTCTTATAAAAGGATGTGAGAAATTGCTTAATCCAATGAAATCCAAGTTCAAGAACACAATCTCATGAGATGACTCTGTACACACAAAGAGAGCATGTCCCAAGTGTGTGCTCTACATGGACATCTCAGTCCTATTTTTTCTTATAGAATAACTATAACAGAATGCAACTAGGCCTTACCCAACATAAAATTTTTTATGATGCACAACTTGATGAAATAAATATCTTTTTGCTTTTATTCTCCCACAGCTTTCCATCATTGGTCTTTCTATGAAGAAAAACATTCTGCCTGAGGATAGAGCAGCTATGTGAAGGAGAATTTATGAAGTACTTATGGATTCAGTAGAGTGGACCCCAAGGATTCTGGGAGATTCGGCAAACTCTCCACATCTTGGTTGTTCTGCACCTGTCTTGGCTTCAGAGGATGCCAGCAATGGGAAAAGCCAGGCACAGTATCTCTTGAGACAAAATTCAGTAATAATTGGGTAATCTGTGTCATCACACAAAGGATTTTTGACCTTGCAATAAAGATGAGATATAACACTAGGATCATCATTTCCCAGCTTTGAAATCACATTAGTCTAATTTTTTTAATTACCTTGGATTAATTCTGGCTACTCTAGAATTCTGACCTTAGAGATCAGGAGGAGATATTAAGCGATTATATTCTTAAAAAATTCCAAACAATGAAATATTGCATGCAAATGCTTTTAAAAACTAAAACGTGTTTTAGACTGTTTCATTTACTTGCTGATATTCAAATAAACTTTGAAAGAATAATATTCCAATGAAAATGAAAAGTTCAATGGTAAGAAAAGTATTAAAAAATTTCATACATAACAGTTTCTCATTTTGTATTTAATAATTATATGGAGAAATATGTGGATTAACAAAAATAGAAAATGAGAGTTTTGGAGTAAAATGCCCATTTTGTCACAACAATGGAAAACTTGCTGACCTATTTCCTTTCCTCGGAATAGCTCCACTTTAACATACAGACGTCATTTTGGTAGATCAGCTTTACATGAATAAAATAAAATTAATTTTGGTAAAGAAAGAACAAAGGAAATATATATCTCATGCAACTATAAAGTGAATCCAAGGCATCCAACTGTCACAAATGACTTTGACTTTAAAGTACTTTAAAAATCTTTTTAAAAGTGAAACCCTCCCAATTAAGAAAAAAAGGATAATCAAGAATAATCATTATGAAACATTTTTTTAAAGTTTTGTTCTTAGAACAAAACTTTCATAACATTTTTATATGAGAAATCTCATGCTTTTTTTTTTTTTCTTCTCGTTTTCAACCACTGAGGCCCAGAACCAGAGACTCACATGGAACTATTTGCAGCCTGAGGTGTTTCTTACTGGGGATGAACTATGACAGATCATCACTCATGTGCCAGTAGACCCGCCCTTTGTTTTCCCTGAATGTGACATTATTTTTTTCTTTCTTTCTAATTCTGGGGACTGAATCTAGGACTCTGCTCTTATGAAAGGGATAAGCCTATTAGGACAAAGCCTACAACAGGATCTGGATCTCTTTTTATGTTCTTCTGTCTTGTGAGGGCACAGTATTAGTACCCTGTAGAGGGCCCATGTTGGAACCAGAGGACAGCTCCCACCAGATGCTGGTGCTATTAGACTTGCTTGCCTCTAGAAATATGAGGAATAAAGTTCTGTTGTTTATAAATAACCTAGTCTCTAGTACTTTGGTATAGCAGCACAAACAAATTAAAGGTAAGATTTATGCCAAGGTTATCTTGGATTCATTTCTACAAATATTGGTTTTTATTACAAAGGTTTGCTTTATTAAGTAACCTCTTATTATTTTTATGAAAAGTTAAGAATGTAACAAGAATTAAATCATTTTAGAGAGATGATGGAAATCTACTCTTAACATGCAAGAACCTTCAGTACTGGATATTGAACCCAGGGCCTTGTATATGATGTGTAAGTGCTCTTCCCCTGAGTCATATTCCTAACCATGTTCTTAAAAACAAAATGGGATTTTTTTCCTTGACAGCTTTTGCGCCAAACCATTATCCTGCTCAATTTCACATAAAATGAAAACTCACACACTAATAATGATGAAATGTGTCTGTTACTATGAAATGGCACTTTATAGTTACACGTAAATAAAAACAGCCTGACTCTGCATCCATTTTAAGGATAAGCATGGATCTGAACTTCTGAGAACCTCCTGTTTCTTCAGAATTCTCTCAGAACTGTGATCCTAGACAAGGGGCCCACTAATTCTTTTATTGAAACAGTGTATCTAGCATGACATGGAGGAGTAAAAACTGGAGGATTTATCTTACGAGAAGATTATGTCCCTTCTGCCCCCTACTGGCTAGACTGGCACATAGACACAACCACAAACTGATACTATCAATTTAATCCCACCTATTGTTTGCAGCACAAATGGGATCATCTTCATATCTTCATTGTTTCTAATGACTAAGCACTGCTTGTGGCAATATTCACCATGTCCACACACCCAAACATGCATTAGGTCAAGGGCAAGGAAGAGTTACTAGGAATTAATGCTATTTTTAGGTTATAAGAAGAGCTCAAGGCTCAGTGAGCTTTTTTCTACATTATAAAAAAGATAAGATGAACGTTTTGGTTGCAAAGTTAGATAAAAATCATTTGTCTAGAGTAAGTCCATATTGTAAAAGTCCTTACCACAATTAAGTACTAAGAGAACAAATAACTCCTTTGATATACTAAGAATTAATGTATCAAAAATTTAGCTGATGCTTATTCTAGGCAGCATGGGGTCATCCCATTTAATGCCTCTAGTGTTTGATAACCTTCATCCCCTTTCCTTAAGAGTATTTGAACAATGCATTATGTATTAACCTATCAATCTAATGACAGTCTATTAAACTTTGATGCCTTGAGTAAAAAGAAAGCATCTTTTAAATTTGATAGCCCAAAGCCCAACATCATTTCTGACACAAAATATCCATGTCAGGTTAAACACAACTGCAAATTCCTTTTCATTATTTCTGTCTTGAGGCAGTTATAATTTCCTTCTTCATGAACCTCAGCCAGCCCATGATTATTGTGACTTTGAAGCGTATGCTGGAAATGACATTGTACCAGATTTTGAGCCTCACTTTTGCCTTTTCTCTCGGAGCATTCCGGAGGAAGTCCTTTGACTTAGCAGGAAAAAGCCAGTGCAGTTGGTGTGAAAACCCAAAACACATGGCATGAGTGTGAACTCATGACAGACCTGTAGGCTTGACCAGCTGTCCACTGAACAAGTGATCTGAGTAGCAACAGTGCTGCCATACTGAGTAGATGAATTTCCCCTGTCTGGATTCCTGACCCACAAAATTGTTGGGCTATAAAATAGATGTGGTTTTAAGCCATCGAATATTTGTTCTATGACAAAGGAGACAAGAACAATAATCAATAAGTATTTCTCATGCTTAACTGAGCAAAATATCTTGACGTTTGAGCATTTTCATCCCTGTTATCTAGAATACATGTAATATAATATATATACTATATAATATACATTTTCCTTTTCAGTTTTAGCTCCACATAATTATATTAGTACAAGAAAGAGGTAAGAGGTTAGAATTTCAATAATTTAACTTAATATCAATGTTAAAGATAAGTTAGTAAAGATTAGTTTAATCTACACTATAATAATTGCATATATGATAAAATCATTTTAAAATCATGAACCATGATAAAGAACACTCTACATTTCTATACAATAATTATCCCTTAAAGTTATATATTGCTTGTAATGCTTTTTATTCATAACCTACTCTTTTGTACATACTGAAAATAAAATTCTTAGTAGTTTCATGTTTCTTTTTTTTTCGAGTATTTTTATTTCGGTGTATGAGTGTTTTGCCTACAAGTATATAAGTGTACCTGTGCATGCAATGTCTGTAGAGGTTAGAAAAGGGCATTGTGGACAGTTGTTAGTCACCACGTAAGTGCTAGGAACTGAACCTGGGTCCTCAGCAGGAGCAGCAACTACTCTCAACTGTTGAGCCATCTCTCCAGCCCCTAGTTTCATGTTTCTATGGGATGCAGAAACATATGAATTCCCAAATCATTCTTATTTTTGAAGCTGATGTGATAGAGAACAAAATATTTATATTAACAACCCAATTTTGAAATCAGTTACATATGGTTCTAATTCCAAGAAGCCAGTAATCAGGCAGATCTTGGGCAAGTTCTTTGACCATAGTTTCTTCATCTTAGAGAACACAATAACAGCTTCCAAGAGATACAGAATGGATTCACTGGCATACCACTCATTACATCTTTACCTTTTGACACATTAAATGATTATGCTTTATAACAGAGTATAGCATGAGACAGAATAAAATGTTCATGAATTAACAGAAGTGACATGAATCATATAGATGAAATATATAAATATCACAAAAATAAATTAAAGAAGACAAGTTGCTGAAAAGATTTCCCATGTTTGCGGATCAGGGTCTTAATAATTATAGGATGATAATGTTACTCAAACAGATATACAGACCTGTTGCAATCCCTCTAAAACTCTGAGACACCTATTTTGCAGAAATTTAGAGGCATGTCTGCAGTTCATAGGGAAATGCAAGTGAGTCAGAGTAATCAAAATAACCTTGAGGAGGAACAAAGTTATAGCACTTGAACTTCCCGATCTCTAAACTTACTGCAAACACAGAACTGAGGAGTTGACCTAAGGACAGACATGGAAACTAATGAAATGCAGCTGCCAGTTCAGAAATATTCTCATCACACACATATCTACCAGCAGTTGATTTTGAGGAGGGCACCAAACCATTCAATGGGGAAATACTGCCTTTCAGTAAAGTAGTGGGACAGATGAATAGACAAATACTGAAGAATGAAGGTATAAAATCAGTTCACACAAAAGAGAGCAAATATTGAAATATAGAAGCTAATATGATTCTCTATAAAATAGATGAGCGAATCCTTATAGATTTACATTGAGCATAATTCCTTAGATATGATATAAAAAAACACAGAGAAAACAAAAAATAGATGAGTTGGACTATATTTAAAAGATCTGTGGTACAGAGAACATTATCAAAGTGGTAGAAAGGACCAAGTCAGCACTTGATAAAGGGCACTATCACACTGCACAAAGAACATCAAGGTGTCCTCTGTAGCTACCAGAATGAAAGACAGACCATGACATTGAGAAAACACTTGCAAGTCATTTATCTGATAAGGGCCTAGTATTTGAAATACACAACTCTTAAAGCTCAATAATAACAAGAAACACTAAGTTTAAAAATAAGCAACAGATTTGTAAAACATTTCTCTAACAAAAATATACAAATTCTCAACAGACAGATGAAAAGATGCCCAACATTAGTCAGTAGGGAGACAAAAATCAAAGTGATGTTGACATATCATTTCAGAGCCATTATAATAGCTTTGTAAGAATGACAGGCAGTGTTAAGTGTTGATGACCCTGTGAAAAAATTGGAATCCTATGCATTGCTGGTAAGATAGTAAGTGGGGGCAGACACTTTGAGATGGTGATTCATCTTTTTTAGAAGGTTAAATATAAGGTTACCATATGACCCAAAAATTCCATTTCTAGGTATATATTCAAGAGAAAGCAACAGATACATCTATGCAAAAGTGTATATACATATGCATGTAATTATATGTGTGTGTATGATGTGTATCATCTTAGAAGATAATTATTATCCAGGCTTGAGAAGGAATCAAGTTATGATTACGTGCTACTACAGGGGTGAAGCAGTCATGCAGTATAAAAGCAGTCAGACATAAAAAGGCTTCATCATTCCACTTATTTAAAGTACTAGAATAGGTAAATCCTTAGAGACAGAGGTAGATTAACTGTTGCCAGGAGCTAGGGCAGGGGAGAATGGGGAATTATTGAAATCATTGTGGTATTTCCTTTTGAGATGATGAAAAGGCTCTGGAATTAGATGCTGGTGATGATTTAACAATCATGGGAGTTTGAACCACTGAAAATTATACAGGTCAGAAAAGTAAATTTTACACAATGTGAATCATGTCTCAAAAACTCAATAGAGTAAGAAAAAGGATTGAAATCAATTTATTAAAAATTAAAACAGGTAAATTGTTGTGTGCGAATGATTCAGCATGATGTAAAAGCTGTTAGGTTATTTGATGATTTTACCTTGGTTAGTGAGAAATAGAAAGTTTTGGAAATATATCAGCCTGAATTTTTCCCAGTGGAAAATCTTCTGCAGCAGGCTGAATGGATAGAGCATTTGACAGAAATAGTGATACTGGACTGGGATCTTGTCACTTCTTCTTTTGCCTCCCCAGTGCCTGGTGCTGTGGTCCTTGACGAGCCAGACCTCAGTAGGGATTTGTTTTTCTCTGTGGAACAGATGCTTCACCCTGCTCCTCACCTCTGGAACAATGTTGAGAGCCAGGTAAATGAGTAATATGTGGAACTTTGTAATTCTGAGTATTTTAGAAATTCAGTTTAATAAAATGAACCCTTTTTTAAAATTGACTTTAATGAGATAAAGCAACCTAATCCCTAATGCCTTTCAAAATTCAGAATGTAAGTATTAGTGAGAGATTAACTCAAATTTAACTGATATTCTCTAGTAGATGGGCATGAACAACACCAGTTAGCTTCTTTAGTGGCATAAACCAAAATTCTAACTGTGTATAATGCAACTGAAATCAAAGCTGAAAGAATGGATAATTTTGTGTTGGAGAGATGGTTCAGTGGGTAAAGGTATTGCTGCCAAGCCTGACTGACCTGAGTTTGATCCCCAGAACCCACATGGTAGAAGGACAGAACCAACTCCCACAAATTGCCTATGACCTCCACAAGCTTGTCATAGTATGTGCACTCCTGCACATGCATAAACACACATATACACATACATCAATGCAAAAAAAACTTTTTTAAAAGAAAGAATGGATAATTTCCTCAGAGGAGAAATACACTTACTGGCAAGAATTGATGGTACTATTTTTCAGGATAAGTTGTAATATGCCAATCTAAGAGGCCAATGTATTGCAATTAGAACTTAATGATATGTAAATCTATAACACACTATGAATTTATATATACCCACCTAGTCTCTTCCCTCCAAACCCATTCTGGTCCTGGTCTTTCTACATAGAAGCGATTACTCCCTGGTTTCGCTCCTCTTATGGGTGCTTTTCTGTGTATTTTCCTTTCACAGTATTGTATGAATGCCTTTTGGAGAATGGGGACTAGACCTTCGAGTCTTCAGCATTCCAAACAATAACAGGGTAGACATCTAATAAATGACTATATGAATGAGTTCACAAATGCAAATTACTAGATTTCTGTTAGAAATAAAATCTGATGGTTGATTTTTCAAAGGTGCCTTGAGCTAGCTTAGACCCAGACACACTAGACCCTGCTAATGCCTGCTAGTCTAGATATCCCTACCCCATACCCAAACTCTGCCAAGCCACTTCCTAAGTTAGAAGTTTAGGGTAGAAAATTACTAACAGACAAGCTTGCCTGCAAGATCATGCTTCTGATAATCTTTAAAATAAACACCCTGTAAAATGTAGAGATGAATCCATGCATGATTTTTCTTGAGCAAAAGACAAATATAAGTGATAGAGGAAAAGATAAGACCTAGGTTACATACAAGATTGTACCTCCTGATTATTTAGGAAAAATAGGAAGGCTCATGCATTAGGGTTTGTAAACTGTTCTCTACAATCAGTGCACCTGTCATTCTAGGCTGACACCCAACTTTGCAAGGTCTTAAACTACCTTAATTTCACTCTAAGTCTATAGTGCTCTTATTATGTAATGAGAGTGCTCTTATTATGAAGTGGAGATCATTTTTCTTACAATTTCTAAAGTTAAAAAATTGTTATTATTTTGCATGTGAGAGATGGGGTGGGGGTGAGGATGGAGAGAATGTGGAATGTATATTGTCACAGTGCACATGTGGGGGCAAGAGAACAATTTTGGAAGTCGGTTCTTTCCTTCCACCATGGTTGGGTTCCGGTGACTGAACTCAGCTCATCAGGCTTACATCAGTATATTCAGTATGCTTTTTTTGTTTTTTTCCTTTTTACCCATTGAGCTGTCTTCCAGGCCTTACTAGTAGATCTCTATAGGAATGCAGGATAACACATCTAGAAAGACCTCCTGGACAGGTTCCCAGGACTGCCACTGTGATACTTCTGGCTTTAAGTACTGAGGGAAATATTACTAGTGATTTTCTCAGAAACTTGCAAGAATATGCTTAAAGTGGGAACTATTGGAAGCAAGGATTCTTAGCACTGAAAAATTGCAGCAAGATGCCATCCGCTCTTGTTTGGTGCTAGCCGTACTTCTACTCCTAACGCAGGTTGTTCTCACCACCAACTTTCACTTCCTCACCCACCTTCTGATTTGAATTTTCTCCATAGCAACAGATCTATCATTTAGAGTGAAACTTACAATGATCTTTCAGCTGTTTGTAGTTAGTTTTAGCTGTTTTTTTTTTTTTTTTTTTTTTTTTTTTTTTTTTTTTTTTTTTTTTTTTTTTTTTTTTTTCACTAAGGAAATAACATTGGGGACTAAGCCAAGCTT